TCAATAGAAGATTAACGCTTGCTCGAAAAACAAATAAATCTGCCGGAGAATACGCTTGGTGGCCTGTGTCCTTGATGGTTATTAGAGGGTTATTAGATTAAAAATGATATCGAAAACCCAACGTTGATTTTGCTGAAGTTTTTCTCAAGGGGTAATCTTACGCAAATCATAATATTGCGGTCTGTTGGGAAGATTGTTTATGCTTGATCAAGTTGATTCAACAAATTCCAAAAATTCATTTTGCTCCGTGGTAATATTGTTTTTACGTTTTGAGGGGCTCTATAAATCGCTCTCCAAGGCTTTTTTTGGGTGCGCTTTAGGCGCGCGCGCTCGATCGAGCGCCTTTCCGGGCAAGGCCTGCCACTAGCTAACATAACTTCTAACATGAGCTGTATGTGCTTTCAAAAGTGCATTTTAAACTTCTTGAAGAGAGCCTGCTGAAAATATTACCACAGTTTCCTAACAAAACTATTCCTACTGCTCTAATTCCAAATCAATCTTAGAGTAGAAGCAATCCATATCAGTTGATTAAAAAAACTTAAAGAATAAAATAAATCAATTATATGCCATTGTTTATGCTTCAGTTCCACTTAGGAAATGATTTCAATGAAGAAATTTGTTAGCAGTAGGGATGTATATGCTTTTCTAGAATAACCTTGTATGAACCATTGAGCACAACCATGATATATTTTTACCTTTGAAAAGCCTGGTCCACTTTGCTTAGATTCTCTTCTAGGGCCTTTAGGAAAGCGACTGCCTCCTCTTTTGTTTTTCCCACTAGAGTGGTATCCAGATGAGTGCTGAAATGTGTCTGTCTTCCTTGAGACATACTTCCCTCTGTGCTCTGCAAAATATACACATACAAAAAATTTAAATATAAATGCAATATAAAATATCTTTATTGTTCAAAGGGGAGGGAATGGCTGAATATGCCCTTGAAAATTGACGTTAGTGCACTAAGATCTCTGGTTACACTAAGGTTGGCATGTGAGTGACACTAAGATCTTTTAATACTGCATGCCAAAGAACAAAAATCTTCTTTTCAAATATAATTCTGATTTGGGTTTTGAGCTACCAAAACAAATAGTTTGCACTATAATCTTTAGGTTACAAGTCTTTTAACCTGGGTTATCAACATGTAAATGATGATTATATAAAAAATGTTTGTGCAAATACTTTAAGAGCCTGATGATATAATAGGAAAATATAGTCCTCCTAATTACTAGTCAAGATAACATATCTATTAGGGTATTTTCTTTGCTTTCCTGAAGATCTACTTTCTTTATTGATAAAGTCTGGAAATGGTTTCCTAGCACAGGCCTAAGTACATTATATAATAAAAATGAAATCATTTTTATTTTATAATCTTCTACTTACAACAGTAACCTCACTTTACAGGTAGTTACTATCAGCTAGCCTGGTGACATGTCTACTAATTTACAAAAGTTATAACATAAAAATAAAATCATAGGAGTTCATAGAATCTCTAGAAGGAGAGCAATTCAGGGTTTGTCAAAGCCTTATTGCGCATACAGAATATATAATAAGATGTGTGTATAATTATTGCTGACAGTTTTCTAATCACAAAATAACAGTATTGGTAGTCTAGATTTAGTTCATCGCACATATTGATGAAAAAATCACAGGAGTTACCAAAGATCCCGAGACAGATGATGGATAGATTAACAAATTTAAATTTGTTGAACTTGGGGGATAGATTAACAAATTTAAATTTGTTGAACTTGGGGTGCAGTTCCTTCAGAAGGCAATGGTACTTTTCAGCTTAACGGGAAGCATTTTTACGTCTCGAACCCAACAGTTAATTTGACGACATACAGGCAGTTGGAAGCAGTTTGAAAGGATGCAATGCAATGAAAGGATGATGCAATGAAGTGCAGGGAAAAGTTCTGTTTCCAAGTAAAATACCCTTGCTCAAGGTATTTGTTACATCAAGCTACAACATGCAGAAGTGATTCAGGCTGAAGACAGAATGAGTTACAATAATAATAATTATAAAAATAATAATAATAATAATAATGATAATGGAAACTTTCATTTTCGGGCAATTCCATGGTGTTGGGAATACATTTTGCACACTTTAAACATGCTTAGCCAGTTTTATGGCAACATTATTTTTAAGGCTTCATACCAGAAGAGAGAAGTCTAAGTGCCCTATCAACAATGCATATGATATGTTTTGTCATCACTATCAGTTTTTGAGTTAGGGGACAAAAGTGTACTGCTGTTGAACATACTCAGACAATCGCAGTTAAAACTACAATTACAAATCTTACTATTACAAGGTAATTTGTAATTGGCTAGCCTGTTTTTACAAAATAAGACTATTACAATCATAGTAATGAGAATAATAAAAATAACAAAAATAAGAATAATTTTGTGTAAAAGTAGGCTTATATCCTTAACACATCTAAACACCAGAATGGCAACTTTGCTATATGCAGTGGAAGATATTTGCATGCTTTGGGGGAAACCCTATCCCTCCTGGGATACCATCTTCCTAATATATTGCTGTCTTGCATCTTTTCAAACATATGCCTGCATATTTTAGCAACGGGGAGGCTTCTCTAAACGTCTAATGGGCTAGAAACGCGCCTAAATACTTAATTTTCGATGACACCCTTAGGTGGAACATGGGCATCAGAAACTTACTTTTTGTTGCAACAGTTTGCCCATTTAAATTGTTTAAATTAACAGTTTAAATGTTGTTTAATCAAAAACCACCAACAATGTTTACGTTAATCAAGCTTTATCCTTACCATCCTGGCCTCCAACCCTCATTGGTGAAAGCGAAGCTCTTGGCTGCAAGAACTTCTTCTCCATTTCTTGGTGGTTTTCCGTCTTTAAAAGAACTTAAACTTGGGCTCAACAAGTTGTTGGCCTGTTTCAAACTTTGACATAAGTCGATGAATTCTGCTACGTTCCCTCCAAACAACATTTTAGCAAGCCATGTTTCTGCAACAACCAAAATCTAAAGGGCAGTCGAGTCTTCGCAATGTGTCTTGATGTTATGATTTCGTAAATTCCGTGGGTATTTGTTGGGAAATGTTCCCAACAAAGTGAGTGAAAGGTAGAATAGCAGTGAAGCTGCTAAATATTGTTAAGCAGGCAACGAAGCTCTGTAGCGCTTCGCCTCAAATTTCTCGAAAACAGAACCTCAACCAGCCCAATAAAGATGAATTCGGCGCAACGGTGCGTAAAATACTCCATGTGTAGAGTAAAGATGACACAAAATAAAAATGGTGTTCTGATCAACCAGATGCAGCTGCACTTCGAGAAGGGGGAATTTTAAATCTTTCCCCGTTAAAGTTTCATGGAGTCAAAATGAATCAGTGACACGGCAGATACCCTTGCAAGTATGGTTGCCCACAATGAAACAACTCCTGATCTCTCTCATCCAAATTTTGTACCAAGGCAACGGGTGACCCAATGACTCTCCGTTAAATCTCTAAACTGACACTACCTAGCAAGTGAGGCCCTATAAGTGGTATTTGAAATACGAAATAATTGCAATTTTTGAGAAAAAAATATGAAATGAAAGGTTTTTTACCATTGAAATATGAAATAATATCTAGTCCCAGAATGAAATATCAAAATAGAGAAATAATCAAGTGTTTTATTAAATTCTATGTGAGGATTATTAATCTGATCGCAGAAGCCACACAAAACAGCGAGAATTGAGCTGCTTAGATATTTTTCGAACTCAAAACTCCGAGAAATGACAAGAAAGACAATATTCCTTTCCCTAAACTTGGAGTAGTAATTGCCTTCATGACCAGCAAAACGTATTTGAAATTGGAGGGGCCAAAATATTAAGATTGTTAAAGTTTTAAGGCCATCCCCATGGCAAGATAAATTATGAAAATACATACTCTAGAGATGCCAGAAATATCATCTAAGATAGATTCAGTGGCGTAACATACGGTGTGCACCTTTAAGCACAAAACTAAGGGCCCACAAACATTTGCTCCCCCCCCCCCTCCTCGAACTATTCCAGGGCCGCGGAGAAGATTTATGGGCCACAGGTCAGGACAAAGTTAAATAGTAAAGCATGGGGAATGCTCCCCAGAAACTTTTGAAAATGATGATTGCTTAAATTGCTCTGGTGGCTATTTGGTTGCTAAAATTGCTATGGCGTCTAAACTGCTCTGGTGGCAGTGGCGTAGATAGAAGTAGGTCAGGAGGGAGGGGACAAAAAACCCCTCTCCAGAGCTAAACTGCTATTTTGTCGGAAAACCTCTGGTCTTGTCGGAATTAGAAAATAACAGGTACAAGATGATGCGTTTTTATAACTGAAATAACAAATAGGTGGGTTAGGCACAAGATTTAGAGATATTTAATGGAAGTGATATAATTTATCACAGGTACATTTAATATCTTTGGCAACTGTTTATTCTGTTTCCTTCCGAATCGCGCTGCTTATTTCTATCTAGCATCTCTCACTTTGTAAGTACGATCGAAATAAAATGTACACATCGAATATCATACTTATGTTCCACTGTTTGATATGATTTGCGCATAACTGATATCTAAACACCATAATGCATAAAAATGACAATTTCTTAGAAATTCTAAAAGTTTAGAAAATAGAAAACGTCTAATTCATTAACTAAACTCGACCACAACCGACACCCTATTGCAAATAGATGCGCATGCCATAGTGTAAACTTGTATGACATACATATTGCTGTGTGTTGCCCTGTTGCAATCACATTTTTTGGTAACCTTCAGAAGCATAGGCGTAGACTTCAGCTGCTGATGTCACCAGGGACGCCTGCACAAGATTAGGGCAGGAGGGGCAGTGTTGGTGCCAAAGGCAAATCGTTGAATTTGTCTATTAACACAATCGAGCATTCCTAGGTGGGAGGGGGCAAGGGTGGGGTTACATAATAAAAAAATATTAACTTGAATATGTGCCACCCATACAGCTGGGTTTTTTACCATCAAAGATTCTAAACATAAAAAAAATGCTGACGAAATTGTCCATATATGAAAATGGTTATTAAATGGCCTTGTCACTCACTATTCACAATATTTGGTTTTATAAAAATAATGGCTATTATAAATGGGCTAGTTGTAAAATTTTCTATTGCCCGGCAAGTTTTTATACCGATTTATCCTCCTTGGATTCCTGGAGTATTTCTGAGGGCACACATCATTTGTTTATCATTTATTATCTTTGCCGCTCTCCCTCTTGTGGCCCACCTTGTCACAGACAAACTTGTCTTGAAGCGAACAAGTGCATCGAAACTTTCTTTAAAGAGCCTCGAGGGCCAAAACGTACTCTCTTGCTTCATCTTCTCGAAGTGCGCGCACAGTTGAAAATATTGTTACTTGACATTATGTCCCTGTTCAATTTGAAACTTTCTCGTGGGCCAATAGTTAAGCTTGTCATTTCTACAGGACCCTTGCATCGAAAAATCATTGACGAAATCTCAAACAGGCGTTCCTCTTGTGTAGAAACTTCTGCATAATTTTCATTTTGTGGAAACTACCCGCCAGAACTAAGACACCTTTATACATTAGCAAGACTTTTCCAAATAATATGAAAAATTTTGGTGTAGCTCATCTACACATGCAAATGATGGAGATTTTAATCTTGAAATCTTTGGATAATATAAACGTGCCGAACTAGACGAAAGTCAAGTAATTGGTTAACTTAACCATTAGGGGCCACTCTATGCCTTTACCCTTTATACATCCAATGTAACATCATAACCACTTACGCCTCATATCTTGTCAACATGGATATTCTACAATAGTATCAATAAAAGAGGTGTTGTATAGTTAACATTACGTCATTGGACGACGAGATTACGAGAGATTGCACCACGACATGCAACTCAAAACAAGTTACGTCATGGTATATTTTGGCCGTCAGGGATTGCACCACGAAGTGCAACTCGAAGAAAAACCTTCTTCTTCTTCTTCTTCTGCGCCTAAGCCTATGTAGGCCGTGGGTGCGCCCAACCATGCACAGAGCTCCGCCACTTCTCCCTATCCATCGCCATTCTTGATAGTTCTCGCAATCCCTCTCCAGTCCACTCCTTGATGTCGTCTTCCCATTGCCTTCTTGGTCTGCCTCTTTCCCTTGCGCCCTCAACTTTCCCTTGGATCAATGTCTTTGTCATCGCTGTTGGTTTCCTCATCTGGTGTCCAAAGTACTTCAGCTTCCTCTTTTTGACTGTCTCTGTAATTGATTCCGGCCTGCCGCCCAACGTCTCCGTCACTTTATTCCAGACAAATTCATTCGTTTTCCTCTCCTGCCATCTTATTTTCATCATCCTTCGGTAAGATTTCATCTCGAAGGCCTTCAGCTTTTCCATGCTCCTCTTGTTCATTGTCCAGCTTTCACATCCGTATAAGAGTGTCGCCCAAGCAATTGCCTTTGTGATTTTCATGCGATTTTTCAGGCTAATGCCTTGTAGTCCCCACATTGAGTTCAGCCTAGCCATAGCACTTGTTGCAGCTCCAATTCTATTCCTGATTTCTTGGTCCGAGTTTCCATTTTCCGTGATGGTTGCTCCCAAGTACTTGAAACTCTTGACCTGTTCAAGTTTCCTATCACCGACGACTATTTCCAGTTGGATGTTATCTTCTCCGTTCCCTGTGACCATTGTCTTGCTCTTCTCCTTGCTAATTTCCATTCCAAATCTTTGTGAGGTGTCATGCAGTCTGTTGGTTAGATCCTGCAGTTCTTCTTCATTCTTTCCAATCAGGTCGATGTCGTCTGCGAAGCGAAGATTGGTTACTTTCAGTCCTCCACAGCTCACTCCAGTATCGTCTAGCTCTTCGATCGCTTCTACCATGATTCGTTCAAGGAACAGATTGAACAGCTCGCAGTGAGGAGTCTGAAAACCAACAAGAGTCCTGGAGCAGACAATGTCAATGCCGAACTAATTCAATGTGGAGGAGAAGACACCGTGAAGATCCTGCACATGCTGTGCAATCTCATTTTCAGAAGTGGTGTTTGGCCGACACAATGGACCGAATCCATCCTCATACCCATCCCCAAGAAGATGAACAGCAGGAAATGCAGCGACTTCAGAACGATAAGCCTAATCAGCCACGCTTCAAAAGTATTACTAAAAATCATCCAAGGAAGAATAACACCAAGAGTTGAGGAAGTGCTGAGCGAGATGCAGGCTGGCTTCAGAAAGGACCGAAGCACCACGGACCAAATCACCAATCTTCGGCTCTTATGCGAGAAAACAAGGAACCATCAAAGAGTAATATGTCACAACTTCATCGACTTTAAAAAAGCGTTTGATCGGGTGTGGCATGAAGCGCTGTGGCACACGATGAGGAAGTTCAATATCGGTGAACAAATCACGAAGACAATCATGAGTCTGTACGAGCAAGCAACGACCAAAGTGTTGACCGGAGAAGAATTCAGCGAATGGTTCAGAGCGACTGTCGGAGTACGACAAGGGTGTATCCTGTCACCGACGTTGTTCAATCTGTTCCTTGAACGAATCATGGTAGAAGCGATCGAAGAGCTAGACGATACTGGAGTGAGCTGTGGAGGACTGAAAGTAACCAATCTTCGCTTCGCAGACGACATCGACCTGATTGGAAAGAATGAAGAAGAACTGCAGGATCTAACCAACAGACTGCATGACACCTCACAAAGATTTGGAATGGAAATTAGCAAGGAGAAGAGCAAGACAATGGTCACAGGGAACGGAGAAGATAACATCCAACTGGAAATAGTCATCGGTGATGGGAAACTTGAACAGGTCAAGAGTTTCAAGTACTTGGGAGCAACCATCACGGAAAATGGAAACTCGGACCAAGAAATCAGGAATAGAATTGGAGCTGCAACAAGTGCTATGGCTAGGCTGAACTCAATGTGGGGACTACAAGGCATTAGCCTGAAAAATCGCATGAAAATCACAAAGGCAATTGCTTGGGCGACACTCTTATACGGATGTGAAAGCTGGACAATGAACAAGAAGAGCATGGAAAAGCTGAAGGCCTTCGAGATGAAATCTTACCGAAGGATGATGAAAATAAGCTGGCAGGAGAGGAAAACGAATGAATTTGTCTGGAATAAAGTGACGGAGACGTTGGGCGGCAGGCCGGAATCAATTACAGAGACAGTCAAAAAGAGGAAGCTGAAGTACTTTGGACACCAGATGAGGAAACCAACAGCGATGACAAAGACATTGATCCAAGGGAAAGTTGAGGGCGCAAGGGAAAGAGGC